GTTCTACAGAAACAAACTTTACCTTGGGGATGTGAATTCACCACAAACCTAATCACCGCCTTCAATACTGCTTCATTCAGAGGGGTACTCTCCAGACAAGGGTTCCAGGCCCATTCTGGCTGCTCTGGTCAAGGCCACGCCCACTGGGTCCCCAACATCCAAGTCTGCTCAGAGTGGAAAGAGTGAGAAAGAGACAACAGATCCACCTCCTCACTGGAACATTTTCAGGATTTTAAATCAGAACTACCCAACTCATGTTCATCCTAGAGACTGATTTTTAATTATCTACTTACTCATCAATTCAACAAAATAGTTGGTGAGTTCTAGGTAAAATTAACATCGAAGGATTTCCCGGTACCTGCTCGTCCTGAAATTAGTTGCTTTCTAATTTCTCTGGGTCAGGGAGAGAGAATTCAAACAGCTGGGCAGAAAACTCCTGGAGTAAAAACAAGAACTGGAGGGGACTGGCAGCACAGGCTTCAGTTCAGGGCTCGGCTGGGGCTGGGGATTAAGTGAGAGACGCTCCTGTGAGCTGGGCCTCACATCCCTTAGATTCACGCTGCAAAGCTGAAGTCTGCTATCCTGGCTTTCTTGTAGCCATAACATCCACAGCAATGCAAAGCTGACAGGTGAACATGACTCCAACAGCTGTGGGAGTTCCCTGTGTGCCTTCCAAATTAATAAGAAATAGGATAAGAATGCTATTGTGAAATATTTTAACTTTTTTGGAAAATGAGCATAGAACATATCAGTTCTGTACTAGGGTTCTCTATATCAATATTGCCAAAATATTTAAGGAATTCAAGTGTATTCCCTGCCAATATATCCTGCCTTTAACAGTAACATTTTACTATAACTCACAATTTTCTTAAGAGCAAATGTAAGAGATTTAATAATAAATGATACTCTTTTCAGTATGTTTATCTAAATTGGTCATCAAAACAACCCAAAAGCAAAAATTATAACAAATTCAAATGAAACAAATTTCACTTTGGCTGCATAGGAATTAGTCTTTAAAATAAATTTCTGTAACATTAACTAAGAGCTAAGCTTTCTAACAAATTCTTCTTTAAAGACTTTATTTATTTATTGGGGCTGGAGCTGTGGCATAGTGGGTTAAGCTGCCAGCTGCAGTGCCAGCATCCCATATAGGCACTGGTTCGAGTCCTGGCTGCTACACTTTCAATCCAGCTCTCTGCTATGGCCTGGGAAAGCCGTGGAGGATGGGTCTAAGTCCTTGAGCCCCTGCACCCACATGGGAGACCACAAGAAGCTCCTGGATCCTGGCTTTAGACTGGACCAGCTCCGGCTTTACAGCCATTTGGAGAGCGAACCAGCGGATGGAACACCTCTCTGTCTATGCCCCTCTGTAACTCTGCCTTTCAAAGAAGTAATAATACAAAATAAATCCTTTTCTTTTAAAAAACTAAAACATCAAGAGCTAATCTAACAAATTTTTAGGGAAATTTTATTCATTTACTTGAGAGACAGAAAGGTCTTCCCTCTGATAGTTCACTCCTCAAATGGCCACATCGGACAGAGCTGGGCCAATCTGAAGCCGGAAGCTTCTTCTGGGCCTCCCACGCAGGTGTAGGGGCCCAAACATTTGGCCATCTTCCTCTACTTTCCCAGGCAACAAGCAGAGTGCTAGATTGGAAGAGGAGCAGCAGGGACTAGACCTGGTGGCCATATAGGATGCTGGCGCCACAGGCAGAGGATTAACCTACTGCACCCCAGCGCCAGCCAGTGCCAAACTCTGACATTAACCCACGACAAAGATTTAAGGCTTTTTCCTCCCCTTGTCTCCTCATTTGTAAAGACACTGACCATTCCAGCCTTTCTTCCAGGATACTAGATGCATGGGTATAGAGTGAAATACAGAAGATAATCGGCTTTTTCACCTCCATCATTGCTACAAAGGCTCGGAAGTGCAAAGATTCTACAGAAATGACTTTTACTTTCTGCACTGCATTAAAATATTGCAAAGTATTTGTTATAAACACCGAGGATTGGACCGCACAGGGTTGAGAACAGCTGATCTAGGGGTGTGGGTGCATGAGTGAAAATGAGATGTACCAGCACATCCATTCTTTCTGTGTGTTGCTTTAGGGTCCCAGCGTGTGTCTATGAATGACCGATGACAAGTGCGTTAGATTGGGACAGGTACGCACGCGCTGACGTGTGTCACACTCGAGCTTCCCGGTCTCCCGAGGGCTGTGTGAGCTGGGAACGGGCGGAAAGGCTCAGGCGGGCAGCGCTGTCTGCAAGCCCAAGGCCAACACGGATGTCGCTGCTCTTGCACACACGGTCTGCCTCGTTTCCTCCTTACACCTCCCCAAGTAACATTGTGAACGGACCCACACCCGCAGCAAACGCTGAGAGCAGCTTCTCAGACACGCACAAAGGAGCTGAGCGCACAAAATGTTCTGGTCATGACGCAAACTTTTCTAGAAACCTAGGCGTTCGCTCACACCTGAGTCTACCGGAATCTTTCCCAGGCCAGGCGCGGCGTCAGCGCGGAAGTTTCTAGAACGCCCGAGAGAACATGGCAAGGGCAGCGTTATGGGGGGGGGTGGGAGGTATATATAGACATAGATATAAATATGTATTTAAAAAACAAAAACCAGCGGTGGTGACAAGGGGCCACCATAACTCAGGTAAAAAGATGAAACTCGGAGACCCCCGCCCGGTTCCCGCCCGAGGGCGGCGGCGCCCCGCAGTGCGTGCACAGCCAGGTTCAGGTCCTGCACCCCGGGCGAGATGGGGCAGGAACGCGGGTGCAGGGAAGCAACGCGGGGCGCCCCGCCGTGGGCCCCGAGAGCACGCGCGTCCGCGAGCCCGCAGGAGACGCCGCAGCCGCCCGACACCGCCCGTGAGCACCCGCAGCCGCGCGGCCACGCCGGGGTCTCCGCCGACGGCGAGCGCGGGGGCAGGGGGCGAGGTGGGGCGGGAGGGAGGACGGCGGCGGGAGACCCCGCGCCCGCGCAGCCCCGCACTCACCCGCCTCCCCGCGGGCTCGGGGCCGAGGGAGCCCGCGCCGCCCGCGTCTCCTCCGAGGCCCGGGACTGCGCTCGGTCCTCTCCCGGGCTGAGGGCGGCCCGCGGGGCGTTTTCCTCAGGACGCGCGGGAGCGCGGGACACGGGGGACCTGGCTGGGCCCGCGCCTGGTTCCGTGCGCTGCTCCGGGCCGTGCCACAGACCCCACCGCCACCGCCGCGAGAGTGCGGGTGACGGGGCCGCGGTAGCGCGGGAGGCGGTGCTCGGGGCGCGAGCCCGGGGCGGCGCGGGTGACCGAGGCCGCGGGAGCCGGGTTGCCCCGGACGCGGGAGGCGGTGTTCGGGGCGGCGCGGGTCACGGGGACCTCGGGGGCCCGGGCTGCCCAGGACGCGGGAGGCGACTGCGCGCAGAGGCTCGGGGTGGCGCAGGTGTTCAGCTGTCAGTGGTCTCCTCCAGGAAGTACCTGTTCTCCCCTCCTCTCTCAAGGGAGGCTGGGAGTAGAGGTGTGGGAGTGGAGGTGACTGGTGTGGCTCTCTCCCTGGCAATCCACTCATTTCCCTTCCCTAACTGCAACATGGGGGAGCCGGGTAATTGACTTTCTGGTTACTACCATTACATTTTAATTAATTGGTTTGAGTGGTAGAAAGAGAGAGAATACTCCCATTCAATGGTTCACTCACCAAATGCCCACAATGGCTGGGGCCAGCCAGCCCAGGCCTGAAGCTGGGAGTTGGAACTCGGTCCCAGTCTCCGTGTGGGGGACAAAAACGCAGTGACTTGCATCATCACCACTGTGTTTCAGGGTCTACATATGCAAGAAGCTGGGTCAAGAGCTGGACTCAGGAATCAAACCCAGGCACTCTGATGCGGGACTTGGGCACCTTACCTGGTGTCTTAATCTGTAGGCTAATTGCTCTCCTTGCTTGCACAACTTTAGATCTCAGTGAGACTGAGACCTCGCTGTGGCATGGATCATCTATTCTGTCTTGAACTAATGAAACAATTTGCATACCTTGGCCACCCCAGCAGAGGCTGAGCCAGGCTGAAGCCTGGAGATAGGAACTACTTCCTGGTCTCCCACATGGGCGGCAGGAGCCCAAGCACTTGGACCATTCTCCTCTGCCTTCTCAGGCACAGTATCGGGGAGCTGGATCAGAAGCAAAATAGGGGTCAGCACCGTGTCATAGCAGGTTAGCCGCCGCCTGCAGTGCCTGCATCCCATATGGGCACCGGTTCGAGTCCCGGCTGCTCCACTTCTGATCCAGCTCTCTGCTATGGCCTGGGAAAGCAGTAGAAGATGGCCCAAGTCCTTGGGCCCTTGCACCTGCGTGGGAGACCCGGAAGAAGCTCCTGGTTTCAGATTGGCATGGCTTTGTTGGGGAGTGAACAGCATATGGAAGACCTCTCTCTCTCTCTCTCTCTCTCTCTCTCTCCTTCTCTCTGTGTGTAACACTGACTTTCAAATAAATAAATAAATCTTAAAAAAAAAAAAGAAGAAGCAAAACAGCTGAGGCTCTAGTATAGCATGTCTGGATAATAAGCAGAGTAGTGGCTTAACCACTGCACTGTGATGTTGGCCCAATTCTCGCATTTTTTTTCAAGATTTATTTATTTATTTGAAAGTCAGAGTTACACAGAGAGAGGGGAGGCAGAGAGAGAGAGGTCTTCCATCCGCTGGTTCACTCCCCAGATGGCTGCAACGGCCAGAGCTGCACTGATCCGAAGCCAGGAGCTTCTTCCGGGTCTCCCACATGGGTGCAGGGGCCCAAGGACTTGGCCATCTTCTACTGTTTTCCCAGGCCGTAGCAGAGAGCTGGATCGGAATTCTCACATTTTTTTTTTTTGCATATGTACACATTGTGAATAGTTACACAACAAATCAATAATATACACTGCCTTAGAAATGCCTTGTTTATATACCTCTTTTATTTTGATATAGTACAATGAACCTGTGTCCCCACTGTAAAAAAAAAATTAAGGTGATATGAAAAACCATAGCCAAAGGAAATGTAAGTACATTTATATATACATAATTAAAATTAGGTCATGTATTAGATATCAGTGTACAGTGGATTGTTTTATGTATCCAACTTTTGATTCTAAAATTGTGAAATTCTTAAACATTTTGAATTAAAGCACTTCACAGAGAAAAGATGTTTTTTCCTTGCTTGTTATTTACATGTAATACAGTTAGTTGGCCTTTTGGTTGGAAAGCTTTTGCAAGAAAATAATCAACATTAGAATCTTGGAATTAAATTTTTGGTGCGACACAGAAGCATGCCATGAGCTTCACACATTACATGAAAGAAATCCTAGAAAAATAAATTGTATTCACAGTTTGAAATGATGAAGACAATATGGAATTCACTGTGTTTTAAACCCACATGCTGCATCACCACAATCCAGTTGAGTGTGGACATTGTACAAACTCCAAAAACCTACTAAACTGACAGTGGGAAAGACAATGTGAGAGACCGAGACGGGCCAAAACAACAAAGTGTGGGGAACAGAAACACAAGAGTTGAACTGGCTTAGCAGAGAGGAGAATGCTGAAACTGGATAGCTCGAAGCCGTCAAAGCCAACAAAAATAAAGCATTTGCAAATCACAGAGCCTGAGAAGACTCAGACCTTGGAGGCGTCTCTGAAGGCCGGGGTACAGGTGGGCTAGAAGCAGGAAGACAGCTTGAAGGTCTCATTTAAGGAGTAACCGGACCCCATGTCTTCTTCCCCAAAAGAAAGCTTGCTAACTCGAACACCAGGCACAGCTGAGAACACTGTACTGACAGCGCGAACACACTGAAGGCTGAGAGGCAACAGCCCTGTCTCCTGGTTACCTTTCTCCCCCGGCAACCCGGCTTACACCTTCAGGAAGAAGACCCAGCCTAAGTGCGAGGATCTGTAGATGGTTCTGTTTCAGAGTCCTTCCCATCAGATATTCGGGTGGTGGTGGAGTAGGGAGAGTATTTGTGTAGAGTAGGGAATAACAGAATTATACTCTCTTCTTCCAGAATGAGAAGTCAATAAAAATATCTAAAAAAGAAAATAGCAATAGCAGCTAAAGCATGAAATTTCAGAATACAGGAACATTGATACAACACTAAAGAGAATGATGAGAATTGTTGTTCATCAACAGCCAGGAGAAAATCAAGGCCTCAAAAAGAACCAAGGCCAGCCACTGTCTAGCTCCATCATCCAGGCCCAGCCATTGGTCACAAAGGCTAACTCACTCCAGGTGAACACAGACCATCAGAGGAAGTGGAGCTTCTTAGCTGACCGTCAACTCTTGCAGCAATGATGCCGCCTGACAGCCTGCCTCCAAACTCAGTGGCATGCGTGTGTTAATACTCACTCAGGAGACTCAGTTGCTGTTTGGCTGGGCTAGGCTGGTCCTGACTGAGTGGCTCTGCTTTAAGCTGTGTCTTCTGGTCTTGGTTCCAGGCTGTGAGTCTGCTGCATCTGTCACATTCTGGAACCCAGGTTCACGAGCAAGGGTTCCCTGCGGCATGTCCTGATTACAGGGGATCCCTTCCACGGATACTCGCAAGTTTCTGATTGTATTGTACCCACTAACCGAAACAGTCCTATGGCTAAGTTCAAAGTCAGGATGGAGGTTCTTATTTGTCCATCACGAAGCCTTGACAAAGATATAAATAAATATGTGACAGCACCATAAAAGAGTAAAGAAATTATTGGAACAAATATTGCGATCTGATAAAGCACCCTTCATCATAGTATTCAACATTCATCACCTGTGTCCTTGGGTAGGTCATCATTCTCATTACATAATCATGTTCCATCTCTAGCAAGAATATCCAGGATGATCTGCAAAATGAATGATTAAGTGTTTCCAATTGGCTTCTTTTTTTGTGCTATTTTAAATTTTTTCATAAATTGTTGTATTTAGAGTCTTACTGTTTAATTCTAAGCTCTTTGTTTTATCTAAATAAGAAGAAACTGCAGAATGCTGTGAAGCGTGTTTAAACCCATTTTATGTCAAGTAGCACTTGTTCTGAATCTTTAGAAAGTAGAAACTTAGAGCAAAATGCACTGGAATGTAGAGAAAGCTATTTGATATAGAAAGTGTGTAGTCTAGCCAAGAAGTGATTACCCCAGAAATCCTCATGGAGAATAAAGGATTTAATGTGAGACTTGATATTTTGGAAAAACAAACTGAGGATTAATAATATCCGGGTGATGTCTCCCAATAACACCAAAGGAAACACTGAAGACGTCTTAAAAGAATGGCTTCCAGATGCTTAGTAAATCATGTGTCCATACCAAATGAGACCATGGCAGGACAGGATATTTCTTATTTTGAGAAGAGAAGCATTCTTTGGGTGACTAGTGGTGTTTTTGCACTTTGACTCTGTAATATCATCAAAGAGATAAAAGCCAAAAGCGTTACCCTTTTCAAATCATAAAATGATAGGTGAGCTATTTGCAGTGAAAATTAGTTTTATCACTCAATGTGATTTATCTGTAAGAAAAGAAATGCTAGGGCTTATGGTGAGATGACTTGTTTATTTCATGGACTGGAACATAGCTCAAAGTCTCATAAAGTTGGAGGACGATTGTGCAAGAGTCAGTAGGACAAGAAAACTGGGATGACGCCTTGCGCATAGGAACATTCTTAGATAGGAAAGTTGTTGGAGGAATCTGGACATTAGAAATTGATTTCCTATGATCTGCCTACACTCACAAAATCTTGGAGAAGACTTGATGCATACCCATTTGGAGATCACTTGTTTGGTTCATTGACAGAGATCTTCTATCCCTGTCTTCTATCCCTTCAAAGTCTTGGCAACTTGGATTTGCATGGATCAAAAATTGTGCCATAGGCTACTGGCTTTCAGAGTTGGCATCCTAACCGTTCACTGAGGTCACTGACTTTGAGTTTTCCACATTGAAATCCTCCTTTGACTCTCTCTGTGGTCGGCTTCCTCATCTCCATAGTACCTGGCAAGAGTTTGTGCTTGAGTAACTCTTCTCTGGGTCTTGTCACTGGGTTGAAAAACAGCAGCAGCAGCAGTAGGAACAAAACTAGTTTCTAAGGAACACAAACACCTCGTAATCAGATATTATAGAACAGAAACGAGAATGTGTATATTCTTTGGGGGATACCCCTTTTAATCAATTAAATTTTCTATAGAGGATATTAAGCACAAATGGGCCATTTGGCAATTTCCCTGGATATTAAGTGCTTGAAGTAGGAAAAAAAAGGGGTGGGGGGAAGGAAGGAAGTCTAAATGAACCAAACTAATCTTCTAATCTTCTATTTCCTTCCTAACTGGCAGATTACCTGCAAGTAAGAGGCAGAAGCATAGATTAATAAACCATATGCAATATATTGCCAGTTGTCATTTGAGGAAACTACTTTCTCTTCTGTGCTGTTGACTTCCTAAGTGTTACAATAACATTTCAGACACACTTGGGGATTAGGAAGGCCATGATGATTTTTTGCCTCCTTTGCCAAAGTGTCTACTTCCTTGGTTTCTATACATTTCATTCTATATCAGCTAAGACTGGGATCTGCTGTGAGAAACAGACTCCCAAAACAGTGGCTTCCGTAGACAGAAATGGATTGTTCACAACAGCCTGGAGAGAAGAGTTGGGGGCTGCCGGAAGTCTCCACTCTGCCAAACCCTGAGGGACCCAGGCTATTCCACTGCACATGGCCCCAGGTCCTGGATCTGCTCCCTCTGCAGCCATCAAGACCATGTGTCAGCCAACTGAAAGAAGAAAAATAAGAAGAAAGAGAGCAAGGTTCACAAAATGGCTTTATTTAAGGAAATGCCACACGACAGTTCCACTTATCTGTCGGTGGCCAAAATTAATCATGTGGAGCGCTTTTGCTTTTTGTATTTTGAAGCTACCTTAATAGGTGCATAGAAGTTTAAATTGGTTACATTTCCTTGGTATTTACTCCTATTGTCATAAAATATCTCCATTTTTTTTTTTTTTTTACTTTAAGCTGTTCTGGGAGTTTATAGCTATGTGGATTGGAACACAATGTAGCTGAGTTTTTAAACAGCCTGAGTATTTTGTGTTTAAAAAAGGTATTTGATTCATTTGCCTTATATGTCATCTTATTTTGTGCTATTTGTCCTATATGTTCTTTAAAAAAAACCACTTATTTATTAAAAAGACTGAGACAGAGATATCTTCCATCCATGGTTTGACTCCCCCGGTGCCCACTACTGCCAGGGCTGGGCCAGGCCAAAAGCCAGGAGCCCAGAACTCTTACCTGAATCTCCATAGGTGGCAGGGGCTCCAACACTTGAGCCATCACCCGCTGCCTCCCAGAGTGCATTAGCAAGAAGCTGGCTCTGAAACTGAGCAGCCTGGATTCAAACTGGTGCTCAATGTGGGAGGCAGGTGTCCCTGGTGGCAGCTAAGCCTACTGTACCCCAACATCCACCCTTCACCCATCTTTTCTATGACTCTTTTTCTCTCCTCTGTTGCTTCCTGCTTGGATTGAGTGTTTCCTTCTAATTCTATACTGTCCTCTACCGTTCGGAAGTTATGTACTCTGATTTTTTTTAGTGTTTACTCCCCCTTCAAAGCATGCATTATTAACTTATCAAAGTCTCAAATTAATCAATACCTTAACCTATGCCTCCTGAACATTATCCTCATCCCTATAAAACTTGGATCCCCCTTTGGGATAAAATGCCAGTATGATTCTGCCTATAGATTCCTTTTTTAACCCCTTAAAACACTAATATTACTTTTGTGTTATTTATATTCATCCATTTATTTTCCAGTTTCTCTTAAAATATAATTATTGAGGGATGACTGATGTACCATAAGCAGCAAATACTTGGGTTGTGCAATTTGATGAGTCTTGACATATACGGACTAATCGCTATCATCAGGAGAATGAACACAGTATCGTCTGCTTTTGTAACTCTTGATGCTTGCCACTCTGTTCTTTGGTGGTGGTGATGGTGGTGGTGTTTCAGACTGGAGCACGAATCTAAATCCTGTTCTTGGCTACCAGTGGAGGTCTGTCTCCACTCCTGTTTGTATCTCAGCCTTTGAATATGAGATCATCTTCCATCTATCTCTAGCATACTCTTTAGATTTTCCTTTGGCAAAGTCTGCTCATGGTGAACTCTCCTCGCTTTTCGATGGCTTGAGTATGTCATCATTTTGGCTTTGTGCAGAAAAGATACTTTTTCTGAGTAGAAAGCTTCAGGTTGAGAAGATTTTTTCCTATGCACATTGAGTGTGTCATTCTGTCTCCTGGCTCTCTTTGCTGCTGTCAAGACATGAGCTTTTGTTGAGCTCCTTGGAAGGTAATATTTCTCCTTGCAGGGTCTTCCTCGTCTTCGATGCTCTCCAGTGTCACTGTGATTTATCTGCTTGTTGATTTTCTGTGTATGGATCCTGCTGGATTTTCACTGTGCTCTTGAATCTGGAAGGTTGTTTTTATCAGTTCTAGAACACTCACAACTGTTTTATTCTTAGTACTTCTGTCCTGTTTTGTCTGTCTTCTCCTTCTCGATCTTTTCATAGACACGTTTCCACTCTAGCTGCTATTTTTCATAATCTTCTTGTCCTATATTTTGCATCTGTGCACATTTGGGATAATTTTTTCAGGCCTGTTTGTCTTTGAGATCATTAATTCTCTCATCAACTTGGTCCCATCCACTGTTAACCCCATCATGGGAGTTTTTTGTTCATTTTACTTATTATATCTTAATTTCTCATGCTCCATCTGGTTCCTAGTTGAATCTGATTGATCATTCTATATAGTTTGTCATATTGTATGCAAACTTTAAAACCTTTTATTTAAACATGCCAAACATTATTTTATAATACGTGTTTCATAATATCTGAAATTTTTTGAGTTTTTTGGGGGTATCGCTATTCCTATCTGTTATCATAATAATTTATTTCTTTTTTATTTTGAATGATTTTTCAGCTGTGAGTTGCTCATTTACCTTGGAAATTTATTTTTCAAGGAAATCCTTAGGGCATTCTCTGGGAAGAATAAGCTTCCTTCAGAGAGGACCAATATATTTGTTAAAAGTAGGACTGCTGTGGGATAAGAGTGGGTATTCAAGACCAGGCGTTCAGTGCAGTGGTTTAGATGTGGGTTGGGACACCAGCATCCCATGTTAGAGTGCCTGGTTGCAGTCCTGGGTTTGCTCCCAATTCCAGCTTCCTGCTAACGAGTTCCTTGAGAGGCAGCAGGTGATGGCTGCAGGACTCGGTTCCCTGACACCCATATGGGAGACCCAGATTGAGTTCCTGGCTCCTGGCTTCAGCCTGGCCCAGCCCTGGCTTTTGTACCTGGGGAGTGAACCAGCAGATGGGAGATCTCTTGGTCTGTCTCTGTCACTTTGCCTTTCAAATAAATAAAATTGTTAAATTTTTTTAAAATTAAAGAATGAGCATTTAAACATTTAATTACACGCTACACATGACTTTTCCAAGATATCCTATCTTTTTATTTAAGATTTATTTATTTATCTTGAAAGTCAGAGTTATAAAGCAAGAGGGAGAAACAGAAAGATCTTCAGTCCATTGGTTCACACACCACGATGGTTGCAACAGCAAACACTGGGCCAGGCTGGAGCGAGGAGCCAATAGCTTCATACGGGTTCCCACATGGGTAGCAGGGGGCCCAAACACTCAGGGCATCTTCACTGCTTTTCTCAGGCCATTGGCAGGAAGCTGAATTGGAAGTAGAGCAGCTGGGACGAAAACCGGAAGTCATATGGGATGCCGCTTAACCCACTGCTCCATAATGCTAGCCCCAAGATCCTATCTTTTCATAGCTTGCCAATATAATCCATGCCCTTGCAAGCTTGGATGTTATCAATATTTAAATTTTGCTGATGAGAATATTTTTATAGAATGTGCTAATATATGCCTACTAATGAGACTGAACACATTTGCTTCTGTCTTTAATCTTCTGTGGGATGATTGATCATTTACTTTGCCCATTTTATAATTTTTCCTAGGCCATTTTCTCTAAGTGCCTTTTGAACTTAAGAACTTTAATATATTTCTTTTGAAGACTAGGAATAACTTGTCAAATATAAATATCAGTCAGAATATATTAGTATTAATTTATCACAAACGTGCTTTGCTTGAAATGTGTGGATCTTCTGGTTGAAGCAAAAAAACCTATTGGTTATTGGTAACTCTATATTGGTATAAAATATAAAGTAAAATTTTATGTTGATTTATAGTAATATATTTCATTGTGAAAATTACTTCTAATTGCTTCCTCACTCACTTGTTAAAAGTGTTGAAGAGTCATATAATAGTCATAGTAAAAAGATATTTCTAGTCAGATCTATTAGAGGAATACTTTTTTCAGACCCTTTAAAATGTTTCTTATTAAATTTTTCAAGATTTACTTATTTATTTGAAAGGCAGAGTTACACAGAGAAAGAAGGAGAGGCAGAGGCAGAGAGAGAGAGAGAGAGAGAGAGAAGTCTTCCAACTACTGGTTCAGGTTCACTCCCCAGATGGCAGCAATGGCTGGAGCTGCACCAATCCAAAGCCAGGAGCCAGGAGCTTCCTCCAGATGTCCCAGGCGGGTGCAGAGGCCCAAGGACTTGGGCCATCTTCTACTGCTTTCCCAGGCCACAGCAGAGAGCTGGATCGGAAGTAGAGCAGCCAGGTCCCGAACCAGCGCCCATGTGGGATGCTGGCACTGCAGGCGGTGGCTTTACCTGCTACGCCGCATTGCCGGCCCCTCTTATTAATTTCAAATGTGTAACCTATACAAAACTTTCCCCAGGTAGTTCCGTCTTCCTCATTTCTCTAGAGCGGTTGTATTTTACATATAGAAACTATGTTTTGGGGGGATATTTTAGCAACGTCAGAATTTCAAGCTTTATTAGTTCTTTTATTCTATTTTGGAAAATATTGTTTCAAATGATTGTTCAAATATCTGTTTCTTATATAAATCATCCTTGGCTTCCTCGAGTAATTAAAACTTTTGTATTAGTAAGACATGTGACTGTTAGCAAACATTAGCCATGGCTATTAATGATTTTACAGGTCTTCACAATGTAGGGAGAATGGGTTGATTTTGCATGAAATAAACTAAGCAGTAAGGACTTTTTTTTCCTCCCATAGAAATGCTTTTCTTAGTAGAAATCATATTATACAAAATGATTCAACAATACAATTGTTTTTAAAAAACTTCTCTGATTTCATAGAATTTAAATATTTCATTTAATCCAGGAATATCCAGGACTTCACAAATTCAGGTTGCATCAGCATTTAGAGAAGGAATGTGGGATTGTCTTAAAAATCAAATCTATGGGGCTGGCGCTGGGGCATAGTGGGTGAAGTCGCTGCCCGCAGTGCCGGCATCCCATATGGACGCCAGTTCGAGTCCTGGCTGCTCTGCTTCCAATCCAGCTCTCTGCTATGGCCTTGGAAAGCAGTAGAAGATGGTTCACATCCTGGCTCCTGGCTTTGGATTGCCTCAACTCCAGCCATTGCGGTCATTTGAGGAACGAACCAGTGGATGGAAGACCTCTCTTTCTCTCTGCCTCTACCTCTCTCCATGACACTGTCTTGCAGATAAATAAAACAAATATTTAAAAAATCAAATGTATATTTTAAGGCAGAAAACTGGTTAGTCCTCAATGGGCTAACAGTTAGCAGGGGAGTGGAAGAATGGCATAGCAGTTAAGATGCACTTTGGATGGCTGCGTGCTCTATCAGAACGCCGGGCTTGAGTCCCGGCCCTGCTTCTATTCCAGGCTCCTGCTAATGCGCACTCTGGGAGGCAGCAGTGATGGTCCAGGAAGTTGGGTCCCTGCCACCCACGTGGGAGACCCGGACTGAGTTCTCAGCTCTCTCAGCTCACAGCTTCAGCCTGGCCCAGCCCTGGTCGTTGAGGGCATCTGGGGAGTGAATCAGTGGTTGGAAAATCTCCCTCCGTCTCTCTCACTCTGCTCTCTGTCTCTCTCACTCTGCCTTTCTGTCTCCCTCTGTCTGTGTCTCTTTCAGCCTCTCAAACAAAAATTAAAAAAAAAAAAAAGAATCAGCAGGACTTAGGAATTTTCCAAGTAAGCTACTACTAAACATACTAACAAACATAAATCCATCTGATTCAGGATGGATCCAAAAATTAAAGAAATGAAAATAAACTCAGTAAATTTCATATTTTACTGAGAATCTGAACAAACCATTTTAAACATTGTTCGGCATTTAAATATCAAGTACTCTTTCTTATTTATTACTTTGAGAATGTATTTATGTTACAACCGTTAAATTGTCATTTTAAAAGCTCAGATCTAGGCCGGCTCCGTGGCTCAATAGGCTAATCCTCTGCCTTGCAGTGCTGGCACACCAGGTTCTAGTCCTGGTCGGGGCTCCAGATTCTGTCCCGGTTGCCCCTCTTCCAGACCAGCTCTCTGCTGTGGCCCGGGAGTACAGGGGAAGATGGCCCAAGTACTTGGGCCCTACATCCGCATAGGAGACCAGGATAAGCACCTGGCTCCTGGCTTCGGATGCGCTGGCCGTGGCGGCCATTGGAGGGTGAACCAACAGCAAAGGAAGACCTTTCTCTCTGTCTCTCTCTCTCACTGTCCACTCTGCCTGTCAAAAAAAAAAAAAAAAAAAAAAAAAAGCTCAGATCTATTTGGTCATTTAAAATGAACAAGGCCGAGTAGGGGAAATGAAGATGATTCTGGAATTTCGGTTCCCTGTTCGGTGCAGACGTCACCTGAAAGAATAAATGACCATTCATATTGGTTTTCTCATGGCAAGCTCCTGACTGGCAAGCAAGATAACCCTCAGACCTCTCAGTAAGTAAAACTGCCTTTAACACGTGTTCAGGAAAAACGTTAGTCCTCCTTCTTGCATTGCTATAATCAGATAACTTGGAATCTGATGTAGGAGTGTCAAAATCACCTGGCTAAATTGTCTACCAAACTCTAAAACTTGCTACACTAGGGAGCAGGGTGTCAGCTAGATAGCAAAAGAAATTGAGATCAGAAGGGAAGTCAACACAGCAAACAAAAGAATTCAGGAGGACTTGGGGAGGAATCAGGTCAAATCAGACCCTCCAGTCAGAGCCCCCAGATTGGAGGGAAGTGGGTGGGGAGAATTCACTGGGTTACACTTGTATCCTGGACACGGGAAAGCCAGAGAGACCCTAGGCATAGGAGAAAGAATGCAAGAGAGCCCAACTTTGTCGTCTGCCGCTAGGCAAACACTTCAGCTTCCTGGAAGCGGCCTAAAACACGTCTTAGATGTCTCAGTCTTAGTATAACTGGAAAGTTGAGCTCCATAGCTGACCTCAGATTTGATACCAATAAATGGATAAGTCACATGAAGTGCTGTGTGTGGGATATACAAGACTTTATTCCAATTTATATATCATGAAGACAACCAGATGGTTTTCTTTTCAAAATCTTTTTATCATCTATGCTAAATATTTATTAGAAGCAACTTCTATGACTATTTCAATCCAAATATTAAACACGATCCGTGCAGTACTTGGCATTATGTGAGCAAAGTGTCCAGTCTCTGTAATTTCCTTCGGTAAAGTATTTAACTTAACTTTACTTGAATTAGTGCATAAAAAGTTCAATAAAGCATGAAATTCAATTAGCAAAACTACATTCTTGGAAATAAGTGCCTCAAGCAGTAAATGCTGTCATCTTTTTTTTCCCCCCAGGTTATCGTGTATAATCAGATTGAACTTGTAGCTTTCAGTTTTCCAGTAAAAATTAATTCAATCTGATCAAGAACTAAAATAGTAACAAAATGCAAAGGTTGAAGAAGTCTATGTTTCAGTCAATAGCACTTTCTAGACTTAGAAATTAAAAAGCGGCATCAATAGCCCTCAACTCCCTTTATTGTCATATATGTTGGTCTCCAAACACACCTGTGTGACAAGTGCACTGAACTTGCAGCCTGAGAGTGGAATCCCAAACATTTACTTCAGTGGCTGCGATCATGTGTCCACAATGAGAATATGGCAGGTCTGTCTCTCCATCTTGCAGTTTTGTTCATAAGTACGCACGTACACATGGACATCAAATTTACAAGGCAGGATGCAAAATTGTGTATTCCCTGATCATAGCTCTGTGAAAAACACAGTTGAACACAATGCATGGTTAGGAGCCCACTAAATTTGCAGTAGTGGCTATAGAACCATGGGTGTTTTGTTTGATTTTCCAAATGACGTGCCATGTGGTTAAACCACCTCCTCTCCTTCCCAACACCCCACCACCATGGGCCCTGGACTTGCTGCTCCAGTCTTTGGTTCCCAGAATGCCACACCCTGTCCTTCAAGTTTCTGACTCTTGAAACTCTTCAGGAAGTTAATACTGATGTCACGTGGTCAAACCACATAGCTTTTAAAAGCCAAAGGGAGCCAGCACCGCGGCTCACAAGGCTAATCCTCCACCTTGCGGTGTTGGCACACCGGGTTCTAGTCCCGGTCAGGGCGCCGGATTCTGTCCCGGCTGCCCCTCTTCCAGGCCAGCTCTCTGCTGTGGCCTGGGAGTGCAGTGGAGGATGGCCCAAGTACTTGGGCCCTGCACCCCATGGGAGACCAGGATAAGTACCTGGGTCCTGGCATCGGATCAGCGCGGTGCGCCAGCCGCGGTGGCCATTGGAGGGTGAATCAACGGCAAAGGAAGACCTTTCTCTCTGTCTCTCTCTCTCACTGTCCACTCTGCCTGTCAAAAATAAATAAATAAATAAATAAATATTAAAAAAAAAGCCAAAGGGAAAAGAAATGATAATGGGTATGAATACTCACTATGTTTGTGTGAGTGCAACTCTGACTTTCAAATAAATAAATAAATAAATCTTTTAAAAAATGATGAGAGATACAGCAGGCGTCGTAGCAATGTGTTAAACTGCCCCTTGGGACACTTTCATCTCATAGCAGAGTGCCTGGGTTTGAATCTTGGCTCCTCCACTTCTGAGCTGGCTTCCTGCTAACATGCACCCTAGAAGCCAGCAAGTCATAGCTCAAGTGCTGGGCCTCCTGCCACCCAAATGCAAGATCTGGGCTGGAGTACTGGGCTCTTGGCTTTGACCTGGCCCAGCCGAAGCTCTTGCTGGCATCTGAGGAGTCAATCAATGAACGGAAGGTCTCTCTCTCTCTCTCTCTCTCTCTCTTTTGCTCACTCTCGCTCTGCTCTCACTTTCAAATAGCATAAGAACAAAACCTTTTTAAGAATTTAAAAAACATGGGGCCGGCACTGTGGTTTATCGGATAAAGCCGCAGCCTGCAGTGCTGGCATCCCATATGGGCGCCAGTTCTAGTCCTGGCTGCTCCATTTCTTATCAAGTTCTCTGCTATGGCCTAGGAAAGCAGCAGAAGATGGCCCAAGTCCTTGGGCCCCTGCACCTGCATGGGAGACCCAGAAGAAGCTCCTGGCTCCTGCCTTCGGATTGACACAGCTCTGGCCATTGCGGCCAATTGAGGAGTGAACCAGCGGATGGACGACTTCTCTCTCTCTCTCTCTCTGCCTCTCCTCTCTGTGTAACTTTGACTTTCAAATAAATAAATAAAATCTTTAAAAAAAAGTGTGTGTATTTTTTTTGAAAAGCCAAGGTATTCAATAGCCTTTAAAGTATTTTCCAGAGGATGAAGTGCACACTATCTACAAAGACCAAGACCCTCAAGAAAAAGACCTGTATGTCTATGGCAGAGTTCAGCTGGCCCAGAGGCATGGCTCATCGTGAGTCTCCTGGTGCTCGCCAGGGTGTGGACTGGAGAGAGGGCTGTGTCCATGCCATCATTCCTCGGAGACCAACAGCTCTGGGGCCTGTGTCACTGATGCAGCCGCCACAGTAGCCACAAAAGCCAGGCGGTCCCACGTCTGCTCCCCGTTGCTCCGTTGTGAACCCCACGGAGCAGCGGCATGGCCAGGGTGGGTGCAGACTGGCACCCGCCCCAGAGGGAGGGTCTGGTCTGGTGATCCTGCCAGGCTCCGCAGTTTCCAGCCCTCTGGTGGGCCCGGTACTTTCCCGTTTCTTACTGAGAGTCCAGATGGACCTCGTTTCTCCCTGGAGTCCCCCCTCCAACGTGACCTCTGTTCTTGGGTTTCTTTCATTCGATCCCTCTGAGATGTTGAAACATCAACCCTACGCTTTAGCAAACAGCACCTGGCCGATCTCATCTTGTTTCTCTCCGAAGCAATCAAAAAACACTTTACTCTACAAGATTTATGACAACGTTTGTATTTTTTTTCCATTTTATACGTCTGCTAAATTCTATTTTTTAAAGCCTTATAGAGCCAGCCACTGTTGGAATCGCCATGTCTAGAAATGTTAACTTCTCTGTAAAAATAAGGCCACTCAGATCTTGTTAAACTGATGTTGTAGTCATTGTGTCCTAATGCCCACGTTCATTCCAAAGGACTTATAAAATGAAATCATCAAAAACTTCCCAGCTGCACAAGTCTTTTGAAACGGTTCTGTCGTAACGGAGTCTGTGTTACACATTACAAAAACATGCAAGGGGGCTTAAAGATAGTTTAACCAAAAAAGACCAGAAAGGGAGAAGAGCCAGGTGGCTTTTTAAGCGTGGAACATAATAAAACAGTGTTTGGAAACTATTAGGCCAAAATGTAATAACTAGAAAACAAGAAAGTGCATTTAGAAGTTGAAGTGTAGCTTCGAGTCGTAAATGGAATCACCTTGGAGAATGCAAGGCAGGACAATCGTCACCGGAGCACGTAGCCAGCGGGAAACACACAGGCGAGAAACCTGCAGACACAGAACAGACGTGGCAGCAGCGTCTCACCGTGTGCCGCACCCGTCAGGGTCCACGCGGGCTGGGAAGCCCCTGTCCCACCTGAGCCAGCCTGAGGCTGCCAAGAGCCGAGGTTATCAGAGAGCAGCACCGTGGGAGGACTCTCCTGCGTCAGATGTTGCCTGGACAGATTCGGGAAGGCTTTGAAATGTACGTGCAAAGATGGGTATTAGGAAAAAACAGCACATGGAATTCAAACATTTTTTTTGCACCCAAATAAAGTATATCTTCCTTCGAGGTCTCCATGAACTTTTTGGGAGAAATATCCTGGTTTTTCCCCCTTTCCTCCACTTTGTGATGTACTAGGGTCTGCTGGGCTTGGCAGAATCTGCAGCGTTTGGTCCTCCAGCGAGACAGAGCGGACCGGGGAAAGGGGCGAGGCACGGATGCCAGGGCGACCCGAGCCCAGGATCAACACAAGTGCTGTCTGTGCGCGCGGATGCGTGGCCCTGTCTTCTGGTGAGGTCGTGCCTCGGGCGGGCCCTGCCTCAGGCCGGGTTGGCCCCGGGACCCTCTCCAGCTGCGCAAAGCCCCCGCTCATCGCCAGCAGATTCACGATTCTCCCCGGCTGCTCCTCGCCATCTCGACAGCGTTGCCTGCTGCAGTACTTAAAGTCATATTTCATTTGATCCTCGCGCATTTTTTAAAGGGCCCGTTTGGCTTGTCGTCTGGGTGCCCTGCTGTCATTCAGCCAGTGGTCTTTGGGCAGAGCGCACCGCCGGGCAACAGAAGCCGGCTAAGTGGAAGTCCAGCTGGGTACCTGTGCCA